ACATCACCAAAAAAAGTTCAGTACAAAATGACCATAACCAAACCCACCTGCAAGCGTTCCCTAACATCTGGTACGGCACGGCACAACGAAACACCCAAAAATCGAATATTCTCTCCTTTACCGATCTCCCGAACTGTTTCGTCAGTGAACAGATTCACCACCTGAAGTGAAACGTGCATGACTTCATCAATGAAACGAATCCACAAACAACTCACTTTGATACCGACCGGTGTCGGGTATATCAGAAAATTACTCGTCTCATCGAAACAAATCGACATATGCTGAAATGTATTCTCATCCCGATCCAACTCCTTTTCCAACGCTACGCGCCGATTCCATTCCATATTTTGTAGACCGAAATGCCTTCAAAAATCAAACAATAATGATAGGAATAATAAATAAATAATAATAATCACAACAATAACAACAAAAATAATACTTATTCAGCTTTGCTTGTTCCATGTACGACTGCAATGTCTCATCGATTGTTTTCTGCAGTTTTCCAGTCATGAAGTCGAATATTCTTATTCGGCGATCTATGCCCACCGCAGCGAAACGTCGACCATCTGGCGCTATCACCAAACATCGCGGTGCAGATTTCAACTGCAAACAATGAATTCGCTACAAACCATTCAGAAACACGTCTATATCTCTTGTATGAATATAAAACTCGTCGCAAATAAGCACAAACCTTTACGAATTCGTACAAATCTGTATCGGTTTTGTATTTCCAAGTGATATTCGTCGGAAATTGGAAATCATGCTTAGGACCGGACCAATACTCGAGCATACCAACTATATCAATGGATATCACACAATCAAACACCGCATTATACTGAAAGTTTCTCAGCTGTCAGCATCCAGCACTACAACGATGAATAAGAGTTACAATAACAACAAACAACAAGAATACAACTCACTTCAATGATCCGAATAGGTTTGGAATGCAGTTTCTCGATGATATTAATGGGTTTGTCGTCACCTTTACCATCGTAAATAAAAATACGACTCGATTCCGAGTCAGTAACTGCCAGCGCTTGCATAACATCATTACCTGAATAGTCGATGCAATGCCGATAATATCAACGATAAATGACCACAAGACAATAATTACAATAATAACCTTGATGTATCCACGCTGCTACTTTCGGCGCAAAATCCAGTTTGAACATATTGATCATATCGAAATTCGGCACATCAAATATTTTCATCGATTTATCTTGTGTGCAAACAGTCACCATTAACGTACCATTATGATTTATGGCTATATGTGAAAAACCATCTGAAATTTTATTCAAATTCAGTTTGGAATCGTTCAAAAATCGAATTCATTCCTCATGAAGATAAGTGATCAAAATGAGCATGTAAAGGTTAAGATGGAACGATAAAACAGTAGAAACTAACAAAGATGACATCTAAAATGTTTGACGAATTCAATTCCTTCAGAATGTTTCTTCTTCCATAACTTCAGATGACCATCCACACTGGCTGTTATTATGAAATCTGTTCTGAAATCGAAAACTTGATGTGAATTTATTACCTCGATTAGAATAAACGACAGCCATACAATAAGCTCACTATCACTTTTCTGCAATATAAAAGAAAATAAGGACGAACACTGTGGCGATAGCATGAGATATTGTATCACGATGCATAAACGATTTCTCATATTGTTGGGCACGTGGTATGGCACGAAGATAGGTGGACTCGAAAGGTAGAGCTGAAACTGGACGATATCAATCGAAAAATAATAGCACTCAACAAAATTCATCCGTTTGAACGATAAAAAATATTTGTGAGCTAAAGTTTTGTGAGCTTAACAGAGTGTGAAAATAAACAGATGAAGCCTTAGAATGAAGTAAAACAAAATAAGAAACCTTTCGGTTTCGGTTTCTTCGAACTGAGTCCATTGCTTTCCGCATCTCCGTCTCCTTCATCTCCTTTCGATGGATCAGCTGATCTTTTCACCATATTATAATCACAAATTCACTCAAATAAAACGATCAGTAATTAGAGGAATACCATAAAGCATGCATTCATTAGCACGAATACGCGTAAACTTAAAACATACTGCATATATATCCTCAAGAAGGTAACCGATCTAATAATTTTGTCGTTAAAGGTTTATAGAAACAAAACGGCATTTCGTTCGGACACATTCGCAGCTGAGCGGGTACTTACTGACCGCAGTGACGTCTCTACGCTAATCGTAAGGGTGCGTACGCACTTCGCTAGTTTTCGAGACTGTAACTT